ATGTCCCCCTAGCACAGCCCTTAGGAACACAGTGAACAGTCAAAAATGTTCACAGAATCAGATTTCAGAGTTCCTAAAATCCCGTGACATATGCAGGCTGACCAGTGGTGGACCGGATACTGTGAGCTGCCACGGCACCTCACCCACAACCTTGTGAGCATGTCTTGGCATTCTTGCCTAAATACACCCGAAGAGCAGAGGGCAGGGCTTTGCTTACTGGTATAAGGGATGGATCATGTTGAAGGGGCCTGGCTGACCTACTTGGGTACATGCTGATCTTCCAGCGTCCTGGCGGGTCTGTAATTTACCCTCAAATAGCAAAATAGCAGAGCGCGAGCCACCTTGCCCTTTTCAGTGTGAAGGTGTTCTGGAGATTTGCTGACTTATTCTCTTCTGCCTCTTCACTGCTGCAAGCAGTTTGCTCAGCTCAGGAACAGCAGACGAAAACAAAGAGAACGACCTCAAACCTTCCTTACCTCCGTCTTACGCAGCAACTGTAGCAAGGCCCAGCACATCTGCAGCCTCCACTGTGCCAGGTGAGCGGCTGGTTGTGGAGGTGGGCGGTGGGGGCTCCTGTGGGGCTGCCTTCTCCCCATGCTGGTGTCTCAGGATGAGCACTCTCCATGGTTACTTCTTCACTGTGAGGCTAGGTAATAGTCTTCAACCTCAGGTCCCTAACACTGGAGGATGTAGCCCAAGGCTGGTTTCCTTCCTCCCTTCCTCTCTCCTTTCTTTCTTTTCTTCCTTCTTTTCTCCCTCCGTCCCTCCCTTCCTTTCTTCCTTTCTTTTTTGTTTTTTTTTCTTTCTTAAAGACAGGCTCTCTAGCCCAAGGCTGGTTTCCTTCTTCTCTCTCTCCTTTCTTTCTTTTCTTCCTTCTTTTCTCCCTCTGTCCCTCCCTTCCTTTCTTCCTTTCTTTTTTGTTTTCTTTCTTTCTTAAAGACAGGCTCTCACTATGTAGACCAGGCTGGCCTGGAACTCACAAAGATCTACCTGCCTCTGCCTCTGGGGCTAACAGCACCAATTAATAAGCAATAACCCTTTACTTCTTGAAGAATTCCAAAGAGCTGGACTTGCAGATGGGAAGTGGAAGAGACCTGCCAACCTCTCAGGGCTCAGAGACTAGATAGTGAGTGGATTTAGACTCACCTTGAGCCGTCCCTCTACTTGGGGGGCAGAGATGCATCCAGCATTGCCCCCATGCTCCCCTTTTCAGGTCCTGACCCTCCAGCCCTCGGCATGGGTGCCACCTGTTCCATTTCTAACTCTTGCCCCCAGGTTACTCTGAGGATGGTGGGGCGCTCCGCGGAGAAGTTATTCCGGAACACGAGTTTGCCACGGGACCAGTGTGTCTTGACGACGAGAATGAGTTTCCCCCTGTGAGCATTCGGAACCCTTAACAGAGTTGCACCATCTGTGTGCCTGGAAGAAGGATGTGCCTCCCACAAGAGGCAAAGTCATTGCCCCTGCTCTTGCTCCTAACCACTAATCTTCCAAATGCAGAGAGTCATAGGACACCCACCTTGCAGGTTCAGATCCCCCGGGCTAGCCAGCTGCTGTGATGCTTGGAGCCTGCCAGCATTGCCATAACCAAATACTAACCTGGGTCGCCATGGACCCAGACTCCTTGCCTCTGCCTCTATGCATACACTGCCTTTGCTGTTGGCGAGGTCGGGGTTTCCGAAGCATCTAGGAATGCCCTTGTAGAATGCTGCCCGTTACTTGTTCTGGTGAGTTAAAGGGGCCAGGTCATGTCCTGCAGGAACTGACCTGCACCCTGCCTGCAGCTCTGGCCTTGCACTCGTATGCATCCCCAGGAGCTGCCGGCACTCACCAGGAAACCACGTGTACAGAGCCAGTGTGGGTGGCATGAGCTCACCTGTTCACCTTCAGCAAGGCTCCCCAGCATCCGACTTTGGCTTGCTGGAGTAAGAGACACCAGTGGTGCCTGAGTACTGGACTTGGCTTCCAGCAGCAGCTGGAGGAAAGGTCCTCTACCCCGTCCCTGGGGGACCGTCAGGGCTTCCTTGGCTGCGGCGTCTTTAAGCAGTGTGCACCCCTCCTGTGAATGTCAGAAGGCATATGAGTGAGTAGGGATGCGGCTCAGTTGGTAGAATGCTTGGCTGTGCATGAAGCCCTGGGTTCAGTTCCCAGCAGCACATAAAACCGAGCATGGTCCTGCGCAACTGTCATCCTAGTAGTTAGGATTCAGGAGGATCAGCCATTCAGGGTCATCTTCGCTACATAGTAAGCTCAAGGCCAGCCTGGGCTATACGAGTCCTTGTCTCAAAAAAAAAAAAAGTCCCAATAAGCGACTTGAAATCATTTCAGATGGATACAATGCCATGTCAGAACTTGGGGACTAGAAGGGGCATGGTCCTGTGGGCCCTGAAGTCGGTAAGGCCCCTTTCCGTGTAAATAGGAGGTGTTTGTGACTTTCATATTGGTTTTGTAGATTGCAGTTTGAAATTTACATTTTTGGACTTTCATAGGCAAGTTGCCAAATATATTGCCGCCAAATGACAGTTATATATTAATGGTGGGAAGGAGTAGTTCTTTAAAAAGAAAAAAACTAATTATGCATTTTAAGACAGCTGTTGGCCTACTGCCTAACAGTTGCTGCCTAAACCAATGGTGCCTGTGGGCTCCCACGATGACCCCAGAACTATTAGGAGATCTTATGTCTTCTGAAAGTCAGTGGCTATTTAATAACTGGCATCGTATCTTCCCGGAGCCAGAGAACTCTAGGTCAGAACAGTGGAGACAAACATTACCAGAGCATCCTATTCTGCCAAGGTCTGATGCTCGCTCAGTTCTGTCTTGGCAATTTTGGTAAAGCTCTGAGACTGCTGTGGAAGATTGATCCATCTCGAACTAGTCTTCGCTGTAATCAGAGCAGAGCTTACAAGCTCCCGTGTTTACAGAAGTTGAGCAATTTGAACAGTGGCATGTAGGAGGTACCTCCTTGCCAGAGGAATCCTGTATAAAATAACCCCAAGTAAGCCGTTTTCCTGGAGGTGAGGAGAATCAGAGACGCTTAATTTAAGAAGTAATGTTGAAGGGTATGGATTAATGATGGGATATATGCCTAGCATGTAAGAGGCTCTGAGTTCCATGTTCAGCCCCCCCCCGACACACATACATGCATGCACACCCCAAACTACTAATGTTCACATGTGTCGTAGACATGCTCACCTAAACACTGCCAGGACATCAGGTACAAGCCAACTGTCCTGTCTCCTCAAGGAGCAAATATGTGTTAAGTTGACTTAAACTGCATTTAGATTCCCGTCTAGGCTAGGGATATGGCTAGCTCAGGAAGCAATGGGCACTGGGTCCATCCCTGGCATTTAAAAAAAAAAAAGTTTATGCACAAGAAATTCTCCCTGCCAGTAGTGTTTGTCAGAAAACAAGTTCCCAGAACTATTAGAGTTCAGCCAAGGTGGCACAGCCTCTGGGTGCCTGTAGGTGTTGGGTGTCACGGTGGCCGCCAGGCCCCGCCTGTCTCACAACCTGCAAGCAGATGGAGAAGAGGAGCCAGTGTTCCAACCAAAGTCCTGAGTCAGCAGCAGGCAGGGTTCTCTATCTCCAGACAGAAGCGCTGCTGGGCTGCCATTCAGTGCGGCCATGTCAGCTGTGCCCCAGAGCCTACGCATTCAGCTGGGCTTGCTAGGAAAGCCCCGCTCCCTGCCTGTGTTCTGAATTGCATGCCTCTTGCAGATATTTCCCAGAATCCCTATCTTTGCTCGCAATTCTTTAGAAGCTTCCGAGACTACAAAAGGATGGGCTTAGCTGAAATCACTTCCCTTTCGGGTCGGAATAGTGAGCTCACTTTACAGAGTAGACTGCCTCTGCCCTCCCTCCGACACCCCTGTCCTCTTTGGGATTGACTTCGCTTCAAGACCAGCAAGAGGAAAGCCAGCTCATCATCTCTCATACCCTGGGAAGAGGCTTTAAGGAGGGCCAGCAGCTTTTGCTTCGTTAGCAAGCCAGCATGCAGCCTGTGTGCTCTGTGACACTAATATTAACCCTGTGAGCAAAAGAACAGCGACCTGGACCAAGAACCTGTGCTGACACTGGGTTCTTTTTATAGTCATTTAGCAGTCAATGTTTACAAGTAAGACGAGCCTTTCAAAAGAAGAAGCGCATGTACATACAAGCACACATGTGCACACATGCAGTTTTTAAACAATGTTGCTGGGATCTGTGCCACAGTTGTCCACACTTATGTAAGATGGGTGGATTTTTCCGTGGTCATGAGTGACCACCAGTCTAGGGCCATATAGAAAAGTTTCAAAAGGCCCAGCCTGCCCTGCTGATTCGCATAGCACAGACCCCTGGGTAACCCAGCCTGCCTCCCCTGCCACTTCGTGAGAGGAGTAAGGCCATTCTGTTTTGATTTTGGTAGATAATCTTGTGCCGCGGAAGTCAGAAGGGCAAAGCGAAGCAGTCCTGACAAGAAGCGCACCCCGAAGTCAGGACACCCCCTGTCAGGTGGTTCTGGCGAGAACAAGGACAGTGGAAGACACGGAGTGTAATCAGTTGTGTGAGCAGAGAGGGGAGGGAGGCAGGAGTCCTGAGTGCCTTGCTGCCTGAGCCATAGTGCATGGTCAGCCCCCTCAGCCTTGGCTGCCAGTGGGTGAGGAGAACGCTGGAGTCACATAATACCTTCAAACCACAGTGTCAATGCTAACTAACCATATTGGTATATAGCCGGAATTTTATATTAAAAAGGGTGTCCTTGTCAAATGTATGCTGTGTAAAAAAAAAATGTACTTAGTGGGAAATCTCTTTGAATTGTGTTTCCTGTATATTACAGACATATATAGAGAGAGAAACTATTTTAGCCAGGCAAAGTATTTTTGCAGTGATTGGAATAAATCGTTTATTACCCTTGAGTCCCATTCAGGACACTAATGAAATAAAATCACGGCAATGCATTTGTGAGTTGTTTACAATTTTTTGTTTTATTTCTTAGAAGTTGTAGGGGCTGGGAAGAAATCTTAAATCTTATTTTAAAAGATTATTTTTTTTTACTATATGAGTGTTTTGCCTACATGTATGTATGTATGTGCGCCACGTGCATGCCTGACATTCTCAGAGACCAGAGGAGAGTAGTGAGTCCCCTGGAACAGCTGTTGCAGACAGTGTAAGCCACCGTGTAGGTGTTGGGAACAGAACCCAGGTCCAGTGCTCTTAACTGATGGGCCAGCTCTCTAGCCCCAAACTCCTAAATCTTTATAGCCTTCCCATTTGGCATTTACAAGAGAGAAGGCCCGTGAGTTCTGCTCCAGGGCCCTGGAAGACCTAGCTTCGGTTTAGCTCTGTGCTGCTCCAGGCATCTCAAAGGAATCCAGCAACACTGTAGTCTCCCAGACCTTCCTCCAGATCCCCTGCGCCAGATTCTGATTTTGCATACCCTGGTGATCTGTGTGTACTGGAGATGGCCGAGCCATACATACCAGCCAGAATGTTTGTGTTCCAGTGACCAGGGAACCTGGGGACACAAGATGAAAACTACAACATTAAGGACCTGCTTGGTGCTGGGGACATACACAGCCAACTTCACGTGTTACGCTAACTTTCAAAATCAATTTGCGATTGAGATTTAAGTCTGCCCACTCTGCCCACTTGACGCGTCTCAAACCTGCATGTGGAGGGGGCAGTCTACACAGGGAGAGGGAAAGCCATGGCTTCCAAACCGGATTGTGCAACCTCATTCCTAAAGTAGACATCTATGTCCAAAATGAAGTTTGGAAGTGAACCTAACCTATCTACAATTTCCAGATGTCTTTCTCATGGGGGGAGAAAACACCCATCACACTGTTTGGCAACGGCAGGAAATTTGGTAGGGGTTACAGCAGGGAGTCACTGAAGGATCCTGAGAGTAGTCTGCTCGGGAGATGTTGTCATCAGCAATGTCTCGAAGGACGTCGGCAAGAACGCTGGTGACCTTCGGCAGCACAGCCTGGTACTCGGGGCTTCCTCTCTGTAGGGGCACGGCTTCTGCAGCATCATCTTCTAGGTTGAAAATGAGAGGGGAGACGTGGCGCTGCTCAGGACCCCTGCTCCCGTCACAAGCTTTGGCTCCACCTACAGGAAGGATGGCCAAAGTGGTTAAACCCAACCTTCACCCTGAGCTGTGATTCACAAGCCAGCCCTGGAGATTCAAATGATTGTTCTCCCTGCCAAATAAATTACCTTGAGATTGTAGTCTGTCTTTCCAGTAATGATCGTCTGTCCGGAGGGATTAGGTCTGCCCCTTGGCCTTGCCTTCCATGTGAACCAGTAGACATCTGTTTCAAATACCTTTCGTCTCTGGCCTTTGAGAGTAAATCTCATGGAGTTTTTAAAAATGGAATTGGGGGAGGAAGGGAGCCACAGGACACACACGGAGGTCAGAGGACCACTTTGTGGAGTCAGTTCTCTCCTCCCACTGTGAATCCAAGCAATGAAACTCAAGCTTTCAGGTTTGTATGACCAGAGTTTTTTACCCACCAAGCCGTCTTGCTGGCCCCTAAATCTGACATTTTTGAATTCCGATTCCTCCAATGGTGATTGTTGAGCTTGGTGGATGTCAAGATGGTCCATTTCCCTAAGTTGAAGAGGATGTTGTTATATCACCCAAATGCTGTGTGCCAGGATGACAGGTGTCTACACCCTTGCCCAGTATGAGGACAGGCTTACGACAGAATATAACTGTGATTAGAAAGGCTCAGCTGTGGTGTGTTCTCCCCTCCAGACGACAGCACAATGCCACAGCTCAGCTCAGCAAAAACAAATCTAGAGGGACTAAAGCCAGCACTCCAGAGACACGGCTTTCGATATGGACTGGAATGAAATGGGAACTCTCAAGAAGAATGGGCCGATCCCACAGCCTTCAGCAGATCAAAGCCTCCGTTACGAGTCTCCTCCCATGATGGGCACTTGGATTCAGCAGGAATTATCATCTTTGTCTAGAGTTGACAAAAATTTGACTCTCCATTACCAGCAAGGAGCACTTGAAGTTACACAAGCCCTGACAATCAATCAAGCAAAGCTGGGAGAGACTCATAAAAGTCTCATTGAGTATGGTGACACAAACCTTTAATAGCAGCATGTGGGAGCCAGAGGCAGGCAGATCTCTGTGAGTTTGAGGTCTCTTGGAGATAGAGACAGACAGACAGAGAGAGAGAGAGAGATAGACAGACAGACAGAGAGAGCCAAGCTGAAGCAAATTATCCAAGATCGGGCATGGTGGAGCATGCCTGGAATCCAGAGGTGGAGACAGGAAGATCAGGAGTTCAGGACCAGCCTCAGCTACAAAGTATATTGAGGCCAGCCTGAACTACATGATACTTAATCTTTAAAACAATTATAAAACAATAACACCAGAACCGTAATGGATGGATCAGCAAACACAAAAAATGCTTACTACATGAACCAAAACCCAAAAACTGGTCAGACCCTCTGAACACACACAAAGAATGGTACAGAGGCCACACATTAGCCTCTACATGTATACCATGACACACAGACCTGCAAACATACTATACATCACACACAGTCATAATAAATCTCTCTTAAGGCAAGAGTACACTAGTACTCTAGCAAAATCAATTCTGGGTCACATAGTTTGCAAACCAACAAAACATTGTAGTGGAATAAGCAAGACAGGCAGAGGCTGCAAGGGACTCCAACCCTGCAGAAAGGAAAGGCACCTGGTATTAGACCTGCTAGGTTGTGTCATTGTGCCCCCTCCCCGCCCCCAGGGAGGATGCCACACAAGCAGTGTGGAGCGGGCAGAATTCCAGAGGAAAGCTGGGGCGATGATGACGGGAAATGACAGATGAAAACCTCAGAGGAATACAGGGGAGGGGAGAGGAGGGGAGGGGAAGGAAGGGGTGGTGCGGGAGAATTATCTGTATTCTGTCAATCATATTTTAATAAAACGCTGATTGGCCAGGCAGGCAGTATAGGCGGGAAAGCCAGACAGGAAGTAGGGGTGGAGCAAAGAGACTGGGAGTATTCTGGAAACAGAAGCTCTCTCTCAGCCACTCCTGTGCAGACCACCGAAGAGGCAACATGTAAGCTGTCACACTGAGAAAGGTACTGAGCCCATGTGGCTAACATAGATAAGGATAATGGGTTAATATGTTATAAGAGTTAACAAGAAGCCTGACCTAATGAGCCAATCAGTTTATAACCTTATGGAGTCCTGTGTGTAATTTCTCTTTGGGATTTGCCGGCTGTTGGGGTACCGGGCGGGATGGAAACCCCAACAAGCCGGCCCCTCATGTTACATACTTGTTTAGATATAGTTACTCCAAGATACTTTATGGTCTTGTCTCTTTTGATTGATTTTGGTTTGAAGTCTATTTTGTTTGTATATTAGGATAATAGGATAGCTATACCAGCTTGTTTCTTCGGTCCATTTGATTGGAAATTTTTCCCCCAAACCTTTACTCTGAGGCGATGTCTGTCTTTGAGGTTGAGGTGTGTTTCTTCTGTGCAGCAGAAGGATGGATTCTGTTTTCGTATCCAATCTGTTAGCCTGTGTCAATTATAGGTGAGTTGAGTCCATTTATATTAAGGGATATTAATGACCAGTGATTGCTAGTTCCTGTTATTTTAGTTTTTATTGTTGGTAATGTTATTGTGTGTGCTTTTCCCTTCTTTGAAATTTGCTGCTGTGAGATCATTCATTGTCTGTGCTTTTGTGGGGGTAGCTGAATTCCTTTGGTTGGAGTTTTCCTTTTAGTACTTTATGTAGGGCTGGATTTGTCGATAGGTATTGTTTAAATCTGGTTCGGTCATGGAATAGCCTGTTTTCTTCAACTGTGGCGATTGAAAGCTTTTCTGGGTATAATAGTCTGGGATGGCATCCATGATCTCTCAGTGTCTGCATAACACTTGACCAGGACCTTCTGGTTTTCACTATTTCCATTGAGAAGTCAGGTGTAGTTCTGATAGGTCTGCCTTTATATTACTTGTTTGGTTTTTTTTTGTTTTTTGTTTTTTTCCCTTTGCAGCTCTGTATGTTTACTGTTTGAATTATTATGTGGTGAGGAGGCTTTTTTTTTCTTCTTTTTTCTTTTGGTCCAGTCTATTTGGTGTTCTGTAAGCTTCTTGTATTTTTCATAGGCATGTCCTTCTTTAGGTTGGAAAAGTTTGCTTCTATGATTTTGTTGAATATATTTTCTGTGCCTTTGAGTTGGACTTCTCCTTCTGCTATCCCTATTATTCTGAGGTTTAGCTTTTTTCATGGTTTCCCAGATTTCCTGAATATTTTGCATTAAGAATTTGTTGGGGGGGTGGAGAGATGGCTCAGAGGTTAAGAGCACTGACTGCTCTTCCAGAGGTCCTGAGTTCAATTCCTAGCAACTGCATGGTGGCTCACAGCCATCTGTAAATAGATCTGGTGCCCTCTTCTGGCCTGCAGGCATACATGGAGGCAGAATGTTGTGTACATAATAAATAAATAAATCTTTAAAAAAATAAAGAATTTGTTGGGTTTAACATTTCTTTACCGATGAATCTATTTCCTCTATTGTATCTTCAACACCTGAGATTCTTTCTTCATTCTCTTGTATTCTGCTGTTTATGTTTACATTTGTGTTCCTGATCATTTACTCATATTTTCCATTTCTAGGATTCCTCGGTTTGTGCTTGCTTTATTGTCTCTATGTCAGTTTTCAGGTTCTGAATTGTTTCTTCCACCGGACTAATTGCTTTTTCTTGGTTTTCTATAAGAGTTTTGTTGATGTTTTTCAATTTATTTTATTTGCCTTTTCCTCTAATTCATTTAGGGAATTTTTCAATTCATCTTTAAGAGCCTCAAACATTTTCCTTAAGTTATCATTAAGGACATTTTCATCTGCTTTATCTGTGCTGGGGTGTTCAAGTCTTGCTGTTGTAGAGGCACAAATTTTTGGTGGTGCCATGTTGCTCTTTGTGTTGTTGAGTGTGTTCTTACTTTGTTGTCTATTCATCTTTTCCTCTGATTGATGTAGTTAGGGCTGTGTCTCTGGTGAGCACTCCTCCAGATGCCAGTGGGTCGGTCCAAGGCTCAGATGGTTGCTCCTCCAGGTGAAGTCGGGGCAACTGCCTGCTCCCAGAGGATGCTTGGGCCTTGGTTGCCTGCTCCCACAGGAGGCTCAGGCCTTGGTTCCTTGGTTGCTTGCTCCCAGAGGTTGCTTGCTTATCCGCTCCCAGAATTTACTAGAGTTTTGCTTGTCTGCTCCTATAGGACACTGAGCACTCCCAGAGGTTGCTCAGGGCTCCCAGAGGTTGCTCAGCGCTCCCAGAGGTTGCACAGAGCTCCCA